CTTTGACCCTCAAATGGCGGAGTCTCTTAGAGGAAGAGCCTTAGAGGATTGCCACTGCATATCACAAAGGTGTATCTGCGTGATCCGTCGTGAGTCGCCCGTTGCAGCCACTTGTACATAGTTTGCCATGTCAAGATCAAACTTGGTGTAGTGAATTGTATTACAGCTTTCTTAGGTAGTGAGGAAGTTAACGAAATTTGGCCATGTTTTCGTCACTGTATGTACGACGTGCATTCTAAATTCTGTCTGCGCTCACAGCTGACAACTACCCACAGGGTATCCCAAAAGATTCCCGGAAATCTGAAAATACATTTTTAATAAAAAAGAAAAACTTTTTTATTTTGTCAGAACACGTATAAGCACAGCCGGAGTTACGCTTGTAATGTCTTTGGTGATTTGTTTATTTTCCTCACGCATGGAAACTAATGGAACATTCGTAGAATCTTTAGTTTGAATCTCGACTACCATTCTAGCAATTATTAGTGAACATTCTACAGCAGTGTGGTTCTGGGAGTCAACAACATGTCCTTGGTTGCGTCAGACGATATGATCATGACACCAAACGCAACTTTTGTATCATCAGAAGAGGAGTATTGGTTGTAAGTAATGATTTCTTGTTGGTTTGACTACATAGATGTAATTTATGTTTCATAATACAGCGAGAATATCTTGGAGTGGTTAGTTCGACGTTAGTCTCCCAAAAGAGAGTAGGTCACTTTTCCTTCACAAGTTTGTTGGTCTGGTCGACTTTCCTGAAGGTTACGGGTGTGTCCCGCTCTGTTGTTTGGTTTCTGCGATGTCTTGCAATTACGTTTTCATTTCGAGAAATAGAATGCTTGTGACGCAGGTTGCAGCACTGTCTAGGAGTGTTGTGTTAGACCCAGTTTCTCCATGTTTTTTTGGAGTGTTAAAAGCGCTGGCGTGCTGAAAAATACAAATAACAATGAAATTTCGGTACACCCCCGTAACCGCGTGGGAAGGCCACGGGGCTCAGGAACTACCAATCAGAAGTGAGCTAGTGTGCATATGAGCGGGGTCTAAGGAGAATAACGTCGAACTAACCCTTGAGGTTTACATACAATACATAGTTAGGGATAGTGGTCTTAATATTTAAAAAATTTACGCTATGCTGAAGTTCATGGAAAGTGAATGGGAGTTCACAACAAAGCGAATCAATGACCTCAAGTGCAACCAAGCCTAGCAAATGACACAACTACTAGTCTGAGAATGAAGATGGAGGCAGTCCTTGCAGCTTTTCGTTGATCTGAAAACCAAATGCACACACATGAAGTTGTTGTAACCGACCTACAAAACATGATGAGAAAGGCATACGTCATGCAGAGCGGGAACCATTGCTTCAGAGTTCCCAGGTAGCGTACTTTGGATATTTTCTCCAGGCTATGCAGGGATATTGAGAAACTAACAGGCAAACAGACTAGCTGGTTCTGCACTATCTAGTGGTAAACTGATGCATGACAACCTAAATCTGGACAAGTGGCAGCGAGTGAAATTGCGAAGGCACACCAAGATCATTTTCTTAACAAAATGATAAAAGGGGAAGTCACCAGTGGATCAGATTACAGCCAACGTAAATGGTAAAGAAAGTAAAAAGTAAAGATCCCTTTTCACGCCTTTCGGCGCATCGGGCAGATGGGCAGAGCGTCCCATATTTTTACAGACCATCAGCACTCTGTGGGTAATGTGGTCAGCATTACGCCGGCTGTCTTTACTTTCCCAGGACAGCCCATCCTGGTACCCATTTTAGGCTGGGTCGACCTGCGACGTCCCCATACCACGACAAAAATCCACGCAGCCTGCAGTGGGTTTCAATCGCGGTATGCTGGCTTACGAGTCGGACTCGCAACGCCTTAGCCAAGGACGCGGCAGCCAACGTAAATGGTGGATAATAATTGCAGTCAGTCTGGTGACAGAAAGTGCCAAACATGACATACAATTTGATTATATTTCGTAATATTTGTCTTAAGTTCAATGGCTTAAATTGCTTGTTGTGCCAAGAGTTATGACTTAATGTCCCTAACAAATACACACTCACACAAACTCACACACACAATCGCTTTTTTTTAAATCTTCTTCTTCTTCGCGTTCACCAGCTGTACACTCTGGCGAAAAGTTCTGGTTGCTCGTCCACTACTGAACTGCAGTCCTGCTCCAGGACCTGAGTGTTGCGTGTGCATCAGTTTTACAGATTTCATTCTCTTGAATACAGACTGTTGGTTCCTTGCCTCTCCGGCAGATGCACTCCGACTTCAAAGGAAGCTCCCCAATTAGTCGACTCTTACGACATGCTTTTTGGGGAGAGAAGGACGTAGAGCAAGGGGTAGACCAAGAACAAGATGGAAGGATAACATCAGAGAAACTACAACAGCACGATGTGCCTATGGTCGAGGCAGCCAGAAGAGCTAGAAACAGAACCTTATATCTCCCTCGACACCCACAGCGGTAAAAGAGGAAGTGAAGAAGAAGAAGAAGAAGTGGGTCTATTCTAGTTTTCCCTACAATGGGGCCCCGGAACCCACAATGGGGGGCTTTTATTATAAAAATAAAAGCTGTTTTGTGTAAGATTTGGTCAAACTGGTCAACATTTTCTACAGCAAAGAAGTGCTGGACATCAGCCCGGGTATCGAGCACATGGGTGGCCTGCGGTGGCAGCTGCTGCTGTGTCTACTAGCCGCTTGGGTCATCGTCTTCCTGTGTCTCATCAAGGGAATCAAGAGCTTGGGCAAGGTCAGAATTTGCATTTGTGTTGGCTTGTTCTTCTTGTGCTATAAAGTATCCCAGAGAGGAGTTCGCCGTTGTTTCCTGTCTTCTACGCCCTCCGCCTATATCCTTCTTGTTCGGATTCTTCACCCGCAGCTTGCTGTTCTCGTGTAGGAGGCTCTAGCTGGTAGCTGATTCTGTTCCTTTCTGACTAGAGGACCAAAAAATTTGGGTTTTTTTTAAATGTTTTATGATATCGTTTGAAGAAAGTTGATTTGTTGGTTGTCCACACACACTACAGAAACAACCTCAGCCTACATTGACTGTTGTGTTTTCTTCTTCTTCTTCTTCTTCTTCTTCTTCTTCTTCTTCTTCTTCTTCTTCTTCTTCTTCTTCTTCTTCTTCTTCTTCTTCTTCTTCTTCTTCTTCTTCTTCTTCTTCTTCTTCTTCTTCTTCTTCTTCTTCTTCTTCTTCTTCTTCTTCTTCTTCTTCTTCTTCTTCTTCTTCTTCCTCTCTCTTCTTCTTCTTCTTCTTCTTCTTCTTCTTCTTCTTCTTCTTCTTCTTCTTCTTCTTCTTCTTCTTCTTCTTCTTCTTCTTCTTCTTCTACTGCTCCGAGTATCGAGAAAGATATAATGTTCTGCTTGTTACTCTTTTGGGCGCCTCGACCATAGACACATCGTAGTTTTTTGGGTGTGATCTTTCCATTTTGATCTTGGTCTACCTCGTTCTCTACGCCCTTTTTCTCTTTTGGTGTATGTCTTTTATGTCATGGTTCTCATGACATTCTCTTTTAGTGGGCAAACCATTTGATTTTCTGTCTGTACGTGTAATTTAGAACTGGTTCTATTCCTCTTGTGACCACATTCCTGATTTTATTCTGGTTTAAGTTATTTATGTTCATTTTGGTTATAGTTATTTATATTTTAGTTTGATTTTATTAGGCAATTCTAGCGGGTAATTTTTTTACGTTCAGTAGTTTGTCGCGGAACCCATATAGATTCAAACTCATTTAATATACATTGTAATTAAGCGTATTTACCTGCTAATACACATGTATGTCAATACTTCGCAATACACAATATTTTTATTCTCTAGTTGATTATCGGTCGGCTCTGTGACTAAGTCGATGCGAACGCTTCGTAATGCCGGGATGCCGTGTTCGATGACAGCTGCGGGCATGCGACTTGCGTTGGTTTCGACAGTGGTATCAAGAAAGCCGACCGTCCAGTAAGCATTGGCAAACTACTGGACGTAGATTTGCCTAGAAAAACCACACAACAGCCAGGGGCTGTTTGGGTTGGTTCTGCAACGTCATGTAAAGAATACGCAACTAACCTTAGTTGATTATCGACGATGATAAACAATATTACAAATCCCACAGACAGCTGTCTATGCAAGAAGTACTCGACAGATACATCCAAGGCTGTGATTTAGAGTAATTTCAGCTGCTCCTTTTTGGTTTTGACTGCAAATGCAAGTCGGACAGGAAATTACAATAATAATGTTGGACGTTGAAAGCTAGTATTTGAAAATAGCACAGTTTACATAGAAATGGCATTCGGAGTGACATGTGCGAAAGTCGCTTCGCTACTGTTCACAGTTTGAGAGTTCTGACAGACAAACAGAAAGACAGACAGAAATCGCATCTGTTTTATAGTGTATATATCTTGGACAAAGAAGATGAGAAATATTGACTTCTCTAAAGATCTAAACATCAAGGAAGATTGGCTAATAAACAGCATCCTTTCCTGAAAGCTGAAATATTTTGGTCATATCAAGCGCAAAGACGGATTGGAAAAAATTATAGCAGAAGGCATGGTACCAGGAAGGAGGGGCAGCGGCCGACCGACACCAAGATGGGCACAGGATATAAGTGACTCCTTGAGTGTGAAAGTTCATGAGGCGGGAGAACTGGCAAGAGACGGAGTTTCTTTCAGGCAGACTGTGATGAGAGCGACGTTCTGCAAAGGACCTGCTACATGATGAGTGTATATGTATATATATATGTGTGTGTGTGTGTGTGTGTGTGTGTGTGTGAAAATATGTGAATGTGCGCGTGTGTGTGTTTGCAGAATGCCTTGTGAAACTTTGACAAGGATTCTCCGACGGGCAACAGAGAGACGTGGGCGACCTATGAAACCCCCAGAATGGCAGTAGAAAGGGAAATAAAGAATATCTAAATGACACACGTCCTCTCACTCGGCAGGTTGTATACGTGGCCGCCACGCTTCCATACATCGTGCTCACCTGTCTCCTGATCCGTGGGTGTCTCCTACCTGGGGCAGTAGACGGCCTTCACTTCTTCATGGTGCCAGACTGGAGCAAGCTGGCCGAGTTTGAGGTGGGTTTCTGGTATCGCCTCATGTGGTTGTCTAGTATAGTCTGATGTAGGTGTCTGGTATAGTCTGAGGTGCATGTTTGGTATAGTCTGAGGTTGGTGCCTGCATAGTCTTTGGTGACTGATATAGACTGATGGTGTCTGTTATAATATGGGGGTGTTTGGTATAGTCTGGGGTGAGTGTTTGGTATAGTCCGAGGTGGGTGTCTGCCTTAGTCTGAGGTGGGTGTTAGCTATAGTCTGAGGAGGGTGTTTGGTACAATCTGAGGTGAGTGTCTGGTAAAGTCCGAGGTGGGTATCTGGTATAGTCTAAGGTGGGTGTCTGGTATAGTCTGAGGTGGGTGTCTGGTATAGTCTGAGGTGGGTGTCTGGTATAGTCTAATGTGGGTGTCTGGTATTGTCTGAGGTGGGTGTCTGATATAGTCTGAGGTGGGTGTCTGGTATAGTCTGAGGTGGGTGTCTGGTATAGTCTGAGGTGGGTGTCTGTTAAAGTCTGAGGTGGGTGTCTGGTATAGTCTGAGGTGGGTGTCTGGTATAGTCTGAGGTGGGTGTCTGGTATAGTCTGAGGTGGGTGTCTGGTATTGTCTGAGGTGGGTGTCTGGTATAGTCTTAAGTGGGTGTCTGGTATAGTCTGAGATTGGTGTCTGGTATAGTCTAAGGTAGGAGTCTGGTATAGTCTAAGGTGGGTGTCTGGTATAGTCTGAGGTGGGTGTCTGTATAGTCTGAGGTGAGTGTCTGGTATAGTCAGAGGTGGGTGTCTGGTATAGTCTGAGGTGGGTGTCTGGTATAGTCTAAGGTGGGTGTCTGGTATAGTCTGAGGTGGGTGTCTGGTATAGTCTGAGATGAGTGTCTGGTAAAGTCCGAGGTGGGTATCTGGTATAGTCTGAGGTGGGTGTCTGGTATAGTCTGAGGTGGGAGTTAGCTATAGTCTGAGGTGATTGTAAGCTATAGTCTGAGGTGAGTGTTAGTTATAGTCTGAGGTGGGTGTCTGGTATAGTCTGAGGTGGGTGTTTGGTATAGTCTGAGGTTGGTGTCTGTTATAGTCTGAGGTGTCTGGTATAGTCTTAAGTGGGTGTCTGGTATAGTCTGAGATTGGTGTCTGGTATAGTCTAAGGTAGGAGTCTGGTATAGCCTAAGGTGGGTGTCTGGTATAGTCTGAGGTGGGTGTCTGTATAGTCTGAGGTGAGTGTCTTGTATAGTCAGAGGTGGGTGTCTGGTATAGTCTGAGGTGGGTGTCTGGTATAGTCTAAGGTGGGTGTCTGGTATAGTCTGAGGTGGATGTCTGGTATAGTCTTAGATGAGTGTCTGGTAAAGTCCAAGGTGGGTATCTGGTATAGTCTGAGGTGGGTGTCTGGTATAGTCTGAGGTGGGTGTCTGGTATAGTCTGAGGTGGGTGTCTGGTATAGTCTAATGTGGGTGTCTGGTATTGTCTGAGGTGGGTGTCTGATATAGTCTGAGGTGGGTGTCTGGTATAGTCTGAGGTGGGTGTCTGGTATAGTCTGAGGTGGGTGTCTGGTAAAGTCTGAGGTGGGTGTCTGGTTTATAGTCTGAAAGGGGTAGTCTTAGTATTATCTGAGTGGGTGTGTATAGTCTGAAGGGGGAGTTAGCTATAGTCTGAGGTGAGTGTAAGCTATAGTCTGAGGTGAGTGTTAGTTATAGTCTGAGGTGGGTGTCTGGTATAGTCTGAGGTGGGTGTTTGATATAGTCTGAGGTTGGTGTCTGTTATAGTCTGAGGTTGGTGTTAGATATAGTGTGAGGTGGGTGTCTGGTATAGTCTGAGGTGGGTTTCTGGTATAGTCTGAGGTGGGTGTCTGGTATAGTCTGAGGTGGGTGTCTGGTATTGTCTGAGGTGGGTGTCTGGTATAGTCTTAAGTGGGTGTCTGGTATAGTCTGAGATTGGTGTCTGGTATAGTCTAAGGTAGGAGTCTGGTATAGTCTAAGGTGGGTGTCTGGTATTGTCTGAGGTGGGTGTCTGGTATAGTCTTAAGTGGGTGTCTGGTATAGTCTGAGATTGGTGTCTGGTATAGTCTGAGGTGGGTGTCTGGTATAGTCTGAGGTGGGTGTCTGGTATAGTCTGAGGTGGGTGTCTGGTATTGTCTGAGGTGGGTGTCTGGTATAGTCTTAAGTGGGTGTCTGGTATAGTCTGAGATTGGTGTCTGGTATAGTCTAAGGTAGGAGTCTGGTATAGTCTAAGGTGGGTGTCTGGTATAGTCTGAGGTGGGTGTCTGTATAGTCTGAGGTGAGTGTCTGGTATAGTCAGAGGTGGGTGTCTGGTATAGTCTGAGGTGGGTGTCTGGTATAGTCTAAGGTGGGTGTCTGGTATAGTCTGAGGTGGGTGTCTGGTATAGTCTGAGATGAGTGTCTGGTAAAGTCCGAGGTGGGTATCTGGTATAGTCTGAGGTGGGTGTCTGGTATAGTCTGAGGGGGGAGTTAGCTATAGTCTGAGGTGATTGTAAGCTATAGTCTGAGGTGAGTGTTAGTTATAGTCTGAGGTGGGTGTCTGGTATAGTCTGAGGTGGGTGTTTGGTATAGTCTGAGGTTGGTGTCTGTTATAGTCTGAGGTGTCTGGTATAGTCTTAAGTGGGTGTCTGGTATAGTCTGAGATTGGTGTCTGGTATAGTCTAAGGTAGGAGTCTGGTATAGCCTAAGGTGGGTGTCTGGTATAGTCTGAGGTGGGTGTCTGTATAGTCTGAGGTGAGTGTCTTGTATAGTCAGAGGTGGGTGTCTGGTATAGTCTGAGGTGGGTGTCTGGTATAGTCTAAGGTGGGTGTCTGGTATAGTCTGAGGTGGATGTCTGGTATAGTCTTAGATGAGTGTCTGGTAAAGTCCAAGGTGGGTATCTGGTATAGTCTGAGGTGGGTGTCTGGTATAGTCTGAGGTGGGTGTCTGGTATAGTCTGAGGTGGGTGTCTGGTATAGTCTAATGTGGGTGTCTGGTATTGTCTGAGGTGGGTGTCTGATATAGTCTGAGGTGGGTGTCTGGTATAGTCTGAGGTGGGTGTCTGGTATAGTCTGAGGTGGGTGTCTGTTAAAGTCTGAGGTGGGTGTCTGGTATAGTCTGAGGTGGGTGTCTGGTATTATCTGAGGTGGGTGTCTTTTATAGTCTGAAGGGGGAGTTAGCTATAGTCTGAGGTGAGTGTAAGCTATAGTCTGAGGTGAGTGTTAGTTATAGTCTGAGGTGGGTGTCTGGTATAGTCTGAGGTGGGTGTTTGGTATAGTCTGAGGTTGGTGTCTGTTATAGTCTGAGGTTGGTGTTAGATATAGTGTGAGGTGGGTGTCTGGTATAGTCTGAGGTGGGTTTCTGGTATAGTCTGAGGTGGGTGTCTGGTATAGTCTGAGGTGGGTGTCTGGTATTGTCTGAGGTGGGTGTCTGGTATAGTCTTAAGTGGGTGTCTGGTATAGTCTGAGATTGGTGTCTGGTATAGTCTAAGGTAGGAGTCTGGTATAGTCTAAGGTGGGTGTCTGGTATTGTCTGAGGTGGGTGTCTGGTATAGTCTTAAGTGGGTGTCTGGTATAGTCTGAGATTGGTGTCTGGTATAGTCTAAGGTAGGAGTCTGGTATAGTCTAAGGTGGGTGTCTGGTATAGTCTGAGGTGGGTGTCTGTATAGTCTGAGGTGAGTGTCTGGTATAGTCAGAGGTGGGTGTCTGGTATAGTCTGAGGTGGGTGTCTGGTATAGTCTAAGGTGGGTGTCTGGTATAGTCTGAGGTGGGTGTCTGGTATAGTCTGAGATGAGTGTCTGGTATAGTCCGAGATGAGTGTCTGGTATTGTCCGAGGTGGGTGTCTGGTATAGTCCTAGGTGAGTGTCTGGTAAAGTGTGAGGTGGGTGTCTGGTATAGTGTGAGGTGGGTGTCTTGTATAGTCTAAGGTGGGTGTCTGGTATAGTGTGAGGTGGGTGTCTGGTATAGTCTGAGGTGGGTGTCTGGTATAGTGTGAGGTGGGTGTCTGGTATAGTCTGTGATGGGTTTATGCTCTAGTCTGAGGTGGGTGTCTGGTATAGTTTTATATTTGTGTCTGCTATAGTCTGATATAGGTGTCTTTTAAAAGCGCTGGCGTGCTGAAATATACAACACGCGATATTAATGGCATTGCGGTACACCCCCGTATCTGTATGGGAAGGTCACCGTTTCTCATAAACTACTAATCAGAAGTGAGCTAGTGTGTATATGGGCGGGGCATGGGTGGACTAACGTCGAACTAACTACGTTTACATTACTTTGTATTATTTGTTAACGGTTTGCATTTGTTTCATTAACTCTTTGAGTCCCAAGGAACGCATCATACGTTCATAGGTTTCTGTCTAGAAGCCCAGTGAACGCATGATGCGCCGATTGTAGGTGTCTCTTAACTACCCCTTGGGCCTGTGTTGCTAAACTCTCTGGGACTCACAGAGTTCATAACAACTGTGTGTAGTTTTTCTGTCCCTCGACCTTTGACCCCTGCAGGTATGGCGAAGTGCGGCGACCCAGGTGTTTTTCTCCATTGGGCTGGGGTTTGGTATCTTGTCCACTCTGGCAAGCTACAACAAGTTCCACAACAATTGCTACAGGTACGGTTGGTTGCTCGTTTGTTTGAGGTGTGACTGCCATATAAAATAACAGTACAGGACCCTTTCGCTTGTAACTATGTGGTGTTGTGTGCACATATTTCAGGCATATTGGGCATGTAGGGCTAGACCTATATTGTATAGACATCCTCAGGGTGATGTGGTCAATATCACGCCAGTCGCCTTTACTTCCCGGAAGTTTACCTGGTACTCGTTGAAAGCTGTGTCGACCTGGTAGCCAAGTTCTTTTTGAAAAATGTGACTACTATACTCGTTTAATTCGCACACACAGATACACACACACACATACAACATACACACATACAACACACACACACATACAACACACACACATATATACACACACACATACAACACACACACATACACACACATGCACACACACACATGCACACACACATGCACGCACACACATGCACGCACACACATATGCACACACACACACACATACAACACACACACATACACACACATGCACACACACACATGCACACACACACACACACATGCACACACACACACATGCACACACATGCACGCACACACATACAACACACATCTAAAATCACGTCAGTCCTGGGTAACTTAACGATGTATTCAAGTATCATTTTAGTCTTACCTTTTTCCTAACAACATCTTTATTTGTCATCTCTAAAGATAATCACATCTCCCACCTCACGTAAGGACACATTTAAACAACATTTAAGATATTATTAGTAAATCATGTTAATCAATAACAGTTGGTAGATTATTGAACAGTTATTTGGAAGCTGTAGATATTTGGTTGTATAGCCCAGTGATGAGAATACCCTGGACAGATAAAAAGAATAATGGTGATTTCTTTAAAAAACTGACTCACAAAGAGAACTAACTGATTGCCTACACCAGAAAGAGAGAATCTACATTCCTTTTGGTCATGTCATAAAAAGGAGAAGACTGGAGTAAACTGTGACAGTAGGAAAGTTGGAGAAGAGGAGAGGCAGAGGGAGACAGAGAGAACAGATGCTGGACAGTTTGACATCATGGCATAGAGGATTATCCGAATCAGAGTTGATTGAAAGTACACAAGACAGAAGGTTGTGGATAGACGTGGCTATCATCAAAGCATTCAGAAGAAGATAACGTTACCCCTACTAATATATAAGTGGAGATTCTGTTTCAACATTAGCCAAGAAGAGAGAACTCACTTCTTCAATAGACGTCATTTGCTTGACCCTAGACGCCTAGATGAGAAGGGTTGTGTCTTCAGAATTCTTTACCACACATTCTATAGACGTTTTCTAAAACTAGCTGAGACCTTATCAACAAAACTGAACTCTCCGGTTTAGTGTAAACAAAAAGATCAGGTGATCAATTTGAAATATCAAGTTAATCACGTGGCTGGTCTTTTAGTTACGGTGGAGAGAGATGTACAGTCTAACGACAATGCAATTTATGTGTTTCGGCGAAAAGGATTCATTATGCTTTATTTTTTGTTGGTTTACTTCTGTAGCAATGTACCTGACGAGATACAGCGTAATATACGAGGCAGTAGATTGTGCAATATACTGTTTGTGTCCGCATCACTCAAATAAAATAACTCTCTAATCTTAACCCCAAACTTCCTTCACCAACCACATCCTGTCTGATTGACCCCCAGAGATGCCCTAATATTGCCAGTGCTCGACTGTTTCACCAGTGTCTACGCCGGAATGGTCATCTTTGCCTACCTGGGGTACATGGCCCACAGCTCAGGCAAGAGCATCGACAGTGTGGTGGATGAGGGTAGGGTTTGATTTGTGTTGTCTTGCTTTTTTCAATACCCATTTCAGAATCTCGGCCCAATGTTGACTAGATCACCCACCAAGTGCTGATTGGTTTATAAAAATGTGTTTTTTCTGGGGCGGAACAAATCCCCCCCCCCCCTCCTTCATCACCCCCGGTGGTGAGTGAAGTCCCTCAGATCCCGGCGCTCCTTGGTAGAATATATATATATGTATATACACAATTTGTTGATGTCAGTCTGGCAGAATTCCCGAGTGTAACTCCAGACTATTTGCTGCCAATTTTCTACGCATTTCTTTTAATTAACACACGGTTCTATTAGAAGTGGTATAGAATTGTAGACTACTTTTTTTTAAAGATAATTAGTTAAACGATATGATAAAATATAGATCCAATAAATACGTTGATCAAATAAGTCATTGTGAAAATAATTTGTTAAATAAACCTTATAATAAATTACATTAAAAGTATCTTTTTATTGTATTGGTTAGTGTATACAGTGTAAGTACTAAAGCTTACATTATAAAATGTGTTATTTATATATGTATATATATTCTCTTCTGCTCATGCTATGTAACATTGTGCCTATCAATATTCTTGTTTAGGGCCAGGACTGGTCTTCATTGCCTATCCCGCCGCCCTATCTACTTTGCCACTCCCCCAGCTTTGGTCAGCTCTCTTTTTCCTAATGCTTTTCTCTGTGGGACTGGACAGTCAGGTAAGGGAAAGTTGACCGGAGAGTCTAGGGAGAGTTGACTGCGGGAGTCAAAGGAGAGTTGACTGTGGGAGTCTAGGGAGAGTTGACTACGGGAGTCTAGGGAGAGTTGACTGCGGGAGTCAAAGGAGAGTTGACTGCGAGAGTCTAGGGAGAGTTGACTGTGGGAGTCTAGGGAGAGTTGACTGCGAGAGTCTAGGGAGAGTTGACTGCGAGATTCTAGGGAGAGTTGACTGTGATTCTAGGGAGAGTTGACTGTGATAGTCTAGGGAGAGTTGACTGTGAGAGTCTAGGGAGAGTTGACTGTGGGAGTCTAGGGAGAGTTGACTGTGGGAGTCTAGGGAGAGTTGACTGTGGGAGTCTAGGGAGAGTTGACTGTGAGAGTCTAGGGAGAGTTGACTGTGATTCTAGGGAGAGTTGACTGTGATTCTATGGAAAGTTGACTGTGATTCTAGGGAGAGTTGACTGTGGAAGTCTAGGGAGAGTTGACTGTGGAAGTCTAGGGAGAGTTGACTGTGATTCTAGGGAGAGTTGACTGTGATTCTAGGGAGAGTTGACTGTGATTCTAGGGAGAGTTGACTGTGATTCTAGGGAGAGTTGACTGTGATTCTAGGGAGAATTGACTGTGATTCTAGGGAGAGTTGACTGTGGGAGTCTAGGGAGAGTTGACTGTGATTCTAGGGAGAGTTGACTGTGATTCTAGGGAGAGTTGACTGTGATTCTAGGGAGAGTTGACTGTGGGAGTCTAGGGAGAGTTGACTGTGATTCTAGGGAGAGTTGACTGTGATTCTAGGGAGAGTTGACTGTGATTCTAGGGAGAGTTGACTGCGGGAGTCTAGGGAGAGTTGACTGTGGGAGTCTAGGGAGAGTTGACTGTGAGAGTCTAGGGAGAGTTGACTGTGGGAGTCTAGGGAGAGTTGACTGTGAGTGTCTAGGGAGAGTTGACTGTGGGAGTCTAGGGAGAGTTGACTGTGATTCTAGGGAGAGTTGACTGTGATTCTAGGGAGAGTTGACTGTGGGAGTCTAGGGAGAGTTGACTGTGGGAGTCTAGGGAGAGTTGACTGTGAGAGTCTATGGAGAGTTGACTGTGATTCTAGGGAGAGTTGACTGTGATTCTAGGGAGAGTTGACTGCGGGAGTCTAGGGAGAGTTGACTGGAGATTAAAGGGGGAGGGTAAAAGAGAGGAGAGAGAGAGACAGAGAATGAGAGAGAGGGAGACGTGGACATGAGTGTACATAAAGAAGCATAGTTGACGGGAGCGTCTGCGCAGAGTTTACTGGAGAGTGAAAGGAGATTTGAAAAGAGAGTAGAGAGAGAGAGAGAGAGAGAGAGAGAGAGAGAGAGAGAGAGAGAGAGAGAGAGAGAGAGAGATTTGACGGGAGAGTCTACAGAGAGTTGATTGGAGAATAAATGGAGATTTCTCTGGAGTAAATAGAGAGCGTTGACTGGAGAGTGCAGAGAGTTGACAGGAAATTCCAGAGAGAATTGACTAGAAATCCAGGGAGTGTTGACTGGAGAGTGCAGAGAGAGTTGACGGAAGTGTATACTGAAATTAGAATGTGAGGGTATAACTGACGTTAAAGTTAAGGGGAGAGTTGACTGGAAATTCCAAGATGTCTTCAGGGAGATTTCAGGAAGGGCTGATAGGAGAGTCTTGAGAGAATTGACAGGAGAGTCCAGAGAAAGTTGACAGGAAAGTCCAGAGATAGGACATAATAGTCAAGGAAGAGTTAATTAGAGACTCCAGGAAAAGTTGACTCAAGAGTCCAGGGAGAGTTCATGGAAGAGTCCAGGGAGCGTTGACAGAAGATTCCAGGAAGAGATTATAGGAGTTTCCCGGAAGAGTTAAAGGAGAATTGACAGGAGCATAGACCGAAGAGTAGTAACAGTATTTAATGACGAAAAGTTAGGGAGACACACACAACAAGTGTGTGTGTGTGTGGTGTGGTGTGTGGTGTGTGTGGTGCGTGTGTGGTGTGTGTGTGTGTGGTGTGTGTGTGGTGTGGTGTGTGTGTGTGGTGTGTGTGGTGTGGTGCGTGTGGTGTGGTGCGTGTGTGTGTGTGGTGTGTATGTGGTGTGTGTGGTGTGTATGTGGTGTGTGTGGTGTGTGTGGTGTATGTGGTGTGTGTGGTGTGTATGTGGTGTGTATGTGGTGTGTGTGGTGTGTATGTGGTGTGTGTGGTGTGTGTGGTGTATGTGGTGTGTGTGGTGTGCGTGCGTGCGTGCGTGCGTGCGCGCGTGCGTGCGTGTGCGCGTGTGTGTGTGTGTGCGTGCGTGTGTGTGTGTGTGAGAGAGAGAGAGAGAGAGAGAGAGAGAGAGAGAGAAAAGAGGGCGGGGCGTTTGGAGAAGAATGGATATAAAATTGAAAGGTAGATTCACAGATCAAGATTGCAATAAAGTCTCGAGTTATGATTGTATGATTGTTATGTCTTGGATGATGATTGCAAATAAGTCTTGAATGATGATAATTATGACAATGATGCTTCCGCAGTTCGCCCACATTCAGACCTTGTGTACAGCTATCATAGACTGCTTCCCAGGTCACGCCCTGACCTCTAGGAAGACTTTACTTATGGGGTCATTATGTGTGGTCAGTTTTGGGCTGGGGATTCCCCTCACGTTGCAGGTAACCATAGTAACCTACTGTATTATCTTGTCGCTTGTTATTGATGTTTTTTTTCCTCTAAAGCTTAGTCGATCACGTGTCTCTTCAACACTAGTTTTGTTGGCAAGTTTATTATGTTGCTCTTTATGTTCTTTTCTGTTATTTCACCCCATCTCGGTGACTGCAAGATTTTGTGGGGAAGTCCAATAGGTTAGGGACGTCAGGGTGAGAGAGAGAACTAACATTGACTAATACTAACTCTAACCACCCTACCCCCCCCTCCCCCCCCCCCCCCACAATCTTTATAGTAATGGACTTAACCGGGAATTCCCCACAAAATCTCGGTCACAGAGATTGGGTTAAATAAAAGAAAAGACCCGCTCTTTATTACCATGATGACTTACCGTGTGGGTTCCCGGAAGAGACCCACTGCCTCCCTTACAAGCATGTCGTAAAAGTCGACTAATTAGTGGTTTTCTTCAAAGTTCATCTGCATGAGACGCAAAGAACCATCAGTCTGCATATACATGAGTCAATTCTGTAAAACGGATGTACACGCAAAAATCAAGTCATGGAACAAAAAAGAAGACCAATGTAGAATGTTGAATTAGGAATCGACATCAGAGCACTCCTATAAGCTCTCCGTCCCCACCTTCAGCAGCAAGCAAAGAGCCGAAGTTCAGAAATGAACAAACACCCAGAACTGTATGCAGCTTACAGCCGGTGAACACGATCAAGCTTAACGTGATCTTCGCTTCTTTCTCTCTTGCTTTCTTTCTTTCTTTCATTTTTTCTTCTTTCTTTCTTTCTTTCTTTCTTTCTTTCTTTCTTTCTTTCTTTTCAATCTTTTTTTCTTTTCCTTCTTTTTTTCTTTCTTTCTTTCTTTCTTTCTTTCTTTCTTTCTTTCTTTCTTTCTTTCTTTCTTTCTTTCTTTCTTTCTTTCTTTCTTTCTTTCTTTCTTTCTTTCTTTCTTTCTTTCTTTCTTTCTTTCTTCCTTTCTTTTTCTAACTTTCTTTCTTTCTTTTCAATCTTTTTTTTCTTTCCCTTCTTTCTTTTTCTCTTTTTTCTTTCTTTCTTTCTTTCTTTCTTTCTTTCTTTCTTTCTTTCTTTCTTTCTTTCTTTCTTTCTTTCTTTCTTTCTTTCTTTCTTTCTTTCTTTCTTTCTTTCTTTCTTTCTTTCTTTCTTTCTTTCTTTCTTTCTTTCTTTCTTTCTTTAACTTCCTTCTTTTATCCTCTTTCTTCTTTCTTTCTTTCTTTCTTCTTTCTTTCTTTCTTCTTTCTTTCTTTCTTTCTTTCTTTTTTCTCTCTTTCTTTCTTTTTTCTTTCTTTCTTTCTTTCTTTCTTTCTTTCTTTCTTTCTTTCTTTCTTTCTTTCTTTCTTTCTTTCTTTCTTTCTTTCTTTCTTTCTTTCTTTCTTGCCTGCGTTCTGTCTGTCTGTCTGTCTGTCTGTCTGTCTGTCTGTCTGTCTGTCTGTCTGTCTGTCTGTCTGTCTGTCTGTCTGTCTGTCTGTCTGTCTGTCTGTCTGTCTGTCTGTCTGTCTGTCTGTCTGTCTGTCTGTCTGTCTGTCTGTCTGTCTCTCTCTCTCTCACTGTGTCGTCCTGTTATAATATTCTATTAGTTCTTAGTTAGCATACATTTTTTAACACATTTTCATTTTCGGCTTTTGGAATTCGAGGTTTTACTGCATTCACATGTACACCGTGGGAGTCGCCGTGGCGTAATAGCTAGACGCTCGCGTGCGAATCGGAAGGTCGTGGGATCGCTCCCTGGCGGATCCGGACTTTTTAAAAAATGACCTTGACTTCCAGGTCGACGCAGCGTTGAGTGGGTACAGGGTGCAGTCCTGGGAAGTAAAGGCGGCTGACGTGATGCTGACATCGTGTGCTGATCGGTCTAAAAAAATATAGGTCTAATCCTATATTCCCTATACGCCTAAAAGCATGTAAACAAAAAAAGAACCGTTACTTACATGTACAAGGTATTCGCACGTAAGCCATGTTGTCCTTGACCTGTCCTAGGGCGGCTCCTATGTCCTTAACCTCATGGACTGGTATGTTGCCAGCATGTCCGTGATGCTTCTTGTGTTCTTCGAGATCGTCACCTTGGCCTGGATTTACGGTGAGCATACTTTTTCATTTGTGCTTGTTGTATTGTGAAGCTGGCTGATCTACTGTTCGTTCGGTTTGATCTTTCTACTACTGTATAAAGGTGTGTACAGGCGGGACATGAATAATACAAGTATTCAAATAGACTCCTGGGAACAACATGTAATGGACCGTGTCGGGTGGATGGAGCACATCCGGAAGGGAAGGAAAATAAAGGAAGAAATAATTGCAGAAAGGATGAGAGCTGAGCGTCTGAGAAGGAATAGACTAAACGCAAATGTTGACAACACCAGTCCTGAAATCCCATGTTATGATTGTGGCAGACTTTTCTTAACGCGGGCGGGTCTTGCTAGTCACACACGCCATCGCCGTGGGCTGTAAGTCCCATGCCTCCTGATAGCGCAAAGTAACAATATCGTCTGGAAAGACGGAAATGTGCCAGTAAATCAAATATTGCTTACAGGTTTGTTTCGGGTGAATTAAAACTGAAGTGCAAGTGCCCATTCTATACTGGTTGACAAGACTTCGTTGTAACTCACTGTAATTAAAGTGTGCTTGTTCATTGGTTCTTTTGACTTCTCATTTGTTTGTTGCAGGCACAGACCGGCTGTACGAGGATGTGGAGGCCATGATTGGGCACCGGCCTTCTGTGATCTACAAGTTGGCTTGGAAGTTCGTCACTCCTGTCTTTGTCCTGGTAAGTCAAGAGGGAGTGGGGGACAAGGAATCATGACTTTGATGTGGTCATTCAAAGAGGGATGGGAGAGAATGACTCCTGTCTTTGTTGTAGTAATTCAAAGAGGGATGGGAGAGCTCTTGCTTTTGTTGTGGTCATTCAAAAAAAGGATGGGAGGGAATGACTCCTGCCTTTGTTGTGGTCATTCAAAGAATGATGGGAGAGTTCTCTTGTTTTTGTTGTGGTCATTCAAAGAGGGGTGAGAGAGAATGACTCCTGCCTTTGTTGTGGTCATTCAAAGAGGGATGGGAGGGAATGACTCCTGCCTTTGTTGTGATCATTCAAAGAATGATGGGAGAGTTCTCTTGTTTTTGTTGTGGTAATTCAAAGAGGGGTGAGAGAGAATGACTCCTGACTTTCTTGTGGTAACTCAAAGAGAGATGGGAGAGAATGACTCCTGACCTTGTTGTGGCAATTCAAGCCCTGCAACTTAGACATAACAGAAGTAGAACTACAGGTTAACAATACAAGCAATGGATAGATCTGAGGCTGTAAGTACCAGAATCTACGTAGCGCATACTAGAATTCGTACCAAATGCCTTTATTATTATTTTTAAATAGTTAATCTCCCTAAACAAATGCAGTGCAAATCTAGGAATCCCCGTTCAACCCTTTAGCCACATAGGGTAGTTATATTGGGGCAACATAAAATGGTTACCAGGCAACCTGTAGTCAAATGTGGGCAGATTTCTGATGATAACAATGTCTCTTAATTGGCTGTGTGGCGTTCAAACTAGGGCTGTCCCGAATATTCGCTTCGGGGCCGAATAGTGGACCCAATAACTATTCGGTATTCTTCCGAATAGTTGCGGTCGGGCCGAATACGAATAGTGGTTACCTCACAACCATTTCTGGACTGGTGGAAAAAAACTCCCACCTTGGTTTATACTGTCAAGCGTTATCTTTGTGCACCACCTACGAGCGTACCAAGTGCCCCTTTATTTCCATCTTGTATGTGTTGCGAGTATAGTGTTTTTAGGTGTGTTGCTGTAGAAACAAAATGCAACACTTAAAAATGTAAGAGGGGCAGAAAAGCAAGTGTTCTAGTGTTGTCGGCTTGATTTCTTTGAGTGGAGTGTCCTCTTCGTTGATTGTTTGAAGTAACGGGAGTTCGTCATCATTTATGGGTGTCATAACTGTTCTTTCGTCGTCTCGTTGAAACAGCAGCGGCTGAATGTTTTGATCGACGTTCGGTTTCTTCGTTGTCTTTGTTGTTTGATCTTCTGGCGTTGGCCGCGTCTGGTTTTTTCGTCTGCAATGATTTCTTAGTTATTTGATCTTCAGGTGTTGGCTGCTCCGTCTCCGTGGCCGCGGTGGTCTTTGATGTCGCTATCTTGTTTCCGTTGACTCCTTGAGCTTGCGGGGGGGGGGGGGGGGGGGGGGGGGGCTGGGTGACTTGTGAGGACGGCATTGTTTTCTTCGTCGGCGTTATTTTTGTTTTTAATGTTTCGCCTTGCGGGTTTTTATCTTGACTCTCTGTATTTGTCGTATTTTCCTGTTTAGTGCAGCTGGAAATATCTTCAGTGAGAAAAAAAAAACTGCCCTAATGCTGACAACATGGAACGAAGGTTTTTCATGGAGGTGTGTCAGCACACGAAATAATACGTGCTGCAGGAGATCGCAGATTGTGGCGAGGCATAATCGCCTATGCCAGCCGGCAAAGCACAGGATGATGATGATTTACTATTCGTATTCGTATTCGGCCGAATAGTTGGTCCAGCTATTTGTATTCGGCCGAATAGTGAAAATCACTATTCGGTACAGCCCTAGTTCAAACCCTAACAAAAAACTGCGATTAACACCCGATGACACAACGTGTCACCATTCGGATGAGAATTCTCACAGGTGCAAGCCCCAGAAATCCCATTCAACTGTTATAGTATATTAGCCCCCCACTCCCATCTCTCCCCCCCCCCCCCCCGGCCATGCGGATGAGGATCACTCGAGGAGAGGTCCCGGATACCCCTTTAACTGTTAGGTTATATTAGGGCGACCCGGCAACACCAGGACGGGGCTTCAAAATAACGACAAATTGCATACCACAGGGTAGTAGTAGTACATTTTACCCTAATAGGACATCACACAAGCGATAAACACCCGATGTGGATGGGTATCACCCGTGGAGAGGTCCCGGAAACCGTGTTCAGCCATTAGACCATGTTTATGGCCGGGCTATATTGCGGCCCCTGGCAAGAGCCAGGGTGGGGCTTCAAAATAACTAAACATGGCATCCCACAAGGTGATGACAAATATTATGTACTTACAGATTGACCTGCTGACTTTCTACCCCACCAGGACATCACACGAGCGATAAACACCCGATGACACAATGTGCCACCATGTGGGTGAGGATCACCATGGAGAGGTCCCAGAAACCGCGTTCAGCCTTTAGACCATATTTATGGCCAGGCTATATTGTGGCCCCTGGCAAGAGCCAGAGTAGGGCTTTAAATAGCGAAAAATTCCATCCTAAAAAAGACGGGGAAAAATACTGGATAAAACAGGATATGTACTTACAGACTGACTGACTGACTTTCTACCTCACCAGGACATCACACAAGCGATAAACATCCGACGACACAATGTGCCACCATGTGCAGATCACCGTGGAGAGGTCCCAGAAACCGCGTTCAGCCAGTTAGCCATATTTATGGCCTGCCTATATTGCGGCCCCTGGCAAAAGCCAGGGTGGGGCTTCAAATAACAAAAAATTTCGTCCTAAAAAGGACGAAACTGGATATGCACTTACACAAAGTATGAAGCTGAAAGGGGGAAAAGAACCAGAACAAAAGGAGGGCGCTCCTTTGACTTGTTCCCCAAAATGGCGGCTTTAATATGATGGCGTTTGAAAGAGAGCTAAAATGGCCAATTTCTTGCCATTAAATATCTAAAAATATCCGAATGCGGGTCAGTTCTATTAAAAATATATGTGCCGGCTCCGGATAACGAAACAAATGCTCTGACAGGGTCTCGGCGATACGGTGCTTGCCGACCTGCTTCTGCGAGTGTGCCTCACCGCCGAGCGTATTCCCCGCGCCGCGGATGGGAGCTAAACTAGATGGCTGGGACTCACGAGTGGCAGCTACCGCATCTCCTGCAACTTCCTCCAATTACTGTACTCGTGAGTCCCAGGCACCTAGATACGTTCGGCGATGAGTTTAATCGCGTTTGGCCGACAAGTCTGACATCTACCGTTGCTAAATCCTCCAATCGGAAGAACACAGTATTGCTAATCGCTTTCATCGTCTGTAATATCTCGAAATTGGTCAACGGTCGCTAATATCGTCTGCAGAAACGCTCGAAATTTTTGTCAACGGTCGGTATTTATCGTCTGCTACTAGTACCGTGTGCAATGTTGATAGTGACTGTCACGTTGCCGCGATTATTTGTCCCTTGGCAGACAGTCCGTATTTTAGATATACGGGAACACGTCGCTCGGATATTTTTGGATATTTTATGGCTAACATGTGGCATGCCGCCATTTTGGGGGAACAATTCAAAGGAGTGCCAAAAGGATTATAAGAAATATTGTGTTTCTTAGACATGTTTTTTGTGTGGTTATTTTAACTGATCTGTTATTTTTGGTGGTATTGTTGTGTGTGTTATTGAAGCAACACCTAGGTATTTCACGTTCCTGTCCTTAATAACTAGGTATTGTGGACAAGCGGAATAACCAGCTTCCGAAATATTGGCTCTGTTTATCCCGGTTATCCCCCTTGGGCGGATGTGCTGGGACTTCTGATCGCGGTTCTGTCCCTTGTTCCCATTCCTATCAAGATGGTGTGGACACTGGCGAGTCTGGAAGGAAGCTTGTTGCAGGTTAGTCTCTCTCAGGCAGGTTTACAGACATCTATCATCATAAATTAGAGGTATTCACAGACATTTATCATTATAAATTAGACTTATTCACAGACATCTATCATCATAATTCAGCAGGTCCTTTACAGAACATCGTTACCATCGCAGCACGCCTGGGGAGAAAACGTCGGCCCCCTGCTGTATCCACCGCCTTATGCTGTTTCCTGACCAAGGTGTTTCTCACCACCTGATCCCTTCTTTCTGCTGGTCAGCCTCTGACTCTTCTTACCTGACAGAAATCTCCGACACTAACGCGATTGCGTGACATTGGATTAAAGCACGGCGAAGCACGTCTATGCTACCTTCGAGGCCGAGATAGAAGACATTATGACCAGCTCCTCATGTGAACAGTCAGTACAGGTACCTAGGAGTGGCTGCTGCATCGTGTGACAGACCACGCATAGGAATGCCCAAAGTGCCGTGACGACGATTTTGTAACATAGCAAAACCTGGTACCATGTCCTCTGCTACTATTTTTGTCTGTGAATCCGCCGTGGAATTTGATATGGCCAACATTTCTCAGATTCCGGTACAAGATGCTGTTTACAAGCCAATTTTACTTGACGTTTAGATCTCTAACGATGTTAATGTTTCTCTTTTTCTTGGTCCATGCTAGTCTAAGAATCTTTTTATAGCATTTCAATTCCAACACACCCATTTTATTCTGTAATGACTGCCATGGTGAGGTTTTTAGAATAATAATGTAGTAGCTTTCTCTTGCTTTCCACATCCACGTAGCTATTTGATCAGTCAGCTGTCACCTTGCCGCCTTCGGTAGAAATTCCCGATGTGGGGTACGATGTCTCATTGTGGGCGACAAAACGAACCTACCCACTGCATCCTAACAAAATTATAAATTTCTGTTACCTATGGCGCCATTTCAATGGTTTGAAATTAATTCTGTCCGTATTCCATAGTTGTGGATTTCAAGCTGTACGATAGACATGGCCAATAAGACACCTTTTGTTGGGAGTACCTAGTTGACCATGTTCTTAGTGCACTTGTATTCATGGCGAGGCGCAAACGCCGTCTGGAGGTGACAGGTTCAATTCCCGGCACGGTAACTAAAGCTCTAGATTTTTATGTTGTCTAGTGTGTTCTTCTATCTTTCTACTTCTTTCTATGAGTGCCGATCAGTACACTTTCTGTTACTTAATTAATTCTTAATATTTAACGGCCTCAAAGGTTCCCCGTCTGTTTATTTATAGGAATGCTCCCTAACAAGCACGTTGTAAAAGTCGACTCATTATGGGTGTTTCCCGGAGTGCATCTGCCTGAGAGGCAAAGTACCAACACTCTGCATTAAAACAAAAACCCATATCTGAAAAACGGATGTGCACGCAAAACTCAAGTTGTGGAGAAAGAATAGTATAGATTGGGAAGTGCACGGAACCAGTGTGATACTAAACATATAGCAAATCCAGAAAGAGAATACCAACAGTCATAATGACACCACTGCAATATATAATATAATAATATCAGTAGTGAAGAAACTCAACAGAATTGCCCCCCCCCCCCACCCCAACCTCCTGTATGACGACACAAACGTGTCTTTTCTTGTATCCACAGAGAGTAAAGACATCTATAAAACCCAGTGAGTTGTGGAGACCAGCCAAGCCTGACAGTCTCGATGTGGAGCTGGAGATGTTAAATAAATCAGTTTAGTTCCGAGCATCTCCCACGCACACAGAGGAGCATCCCCCACGCACACAGAGGAGCATCCCCCACGCACACAGAGGAGCATCTCCCGCGCACACAGAGGAGAATCCCCCACGCACACAGAGGAGCATCTCCCACGCACACAGAGGAGCATCTCCCGCGGGCACAGAGGAGCATCCCCCACGCACACAGAGGAGCATCTCCCGCGGGCACAGAGGAGCATCCCCCACGCACACAGAGGAGCATCTCCCACGCACACAGAGGAGCATCCCCCACGCACACAGAGGAGCATCTCCCGCGGGCACAGAGGAGCATCCCCCACGCACACAGAGGAGCATCTCCCACGCACACAGAGGAGCATCTCCCACGCACACAGAGGAGCATCTCCCACGCACACAGAGGAGCATCTCCCACGCACACAGAGGAGCATCTCCCACGCACGCAGAGGAGCATCTCCCACGCACACAGAGGAGCATCTCCCACGCACACAGAGGAGCATCTCCCGCGCACACAGAGGAGCATCTCCCGCGCACACAGAGGAGCATCCCCCACGCACACAGAGGAGCATCCCCCACGCACACAGAGGAGCATCCCACACGCACACAGAGGAGCATCTCCCACGCACACAGAGGAGCATCCCCCACGCACACAGAGGAGCATCCCCCACGCACACAGAGGAGCATCTCCCGCGCACACAGAGGAGCATCTCCCGCGCACACAGAGGAGCATCTCCCGCGCACACAGAGGAGCATCTCCCGCGCACACAGAGGAGCATCTCCCGCGCACACAGAGGAGCATCTCCCGCGCACACAGAGGAGCATCTCCCGCGCACACAGAGGAGAATCCCCCACGCACACAGAGGAGCATCTCCCACGCACACAGAGGAGTATCCCCCACGCACACAGAGGAGCATCCCCCACGGGCACAGAGGAGCATCCCCCACGGGCACAGAGGAGCATCCCCCGCGGGCACAGAGGAGCATCCCCCACGGGCACAGAGGAGCATCCCCCACGGGCACAGAGGAGCATCTCCCGCGGGCACAGAGGAGCATCCCCCACGCACACAGAGGAGCATCTCCCACGCACACAGAGGAGCATCTCCCACGCACACAGAGGAGCATCTCCCACGGGCACAGAGGAGCATCCCCCACGCACACAGAGGAGCATCTCCCGCGGGCACAGAGGAGCATCTCCCGCGGGCACAGAGAAGCATCCCCCACGCACACAGAGGAGCATCTCCCACGCACACAGAGGAGCATCTCCCACGCACACAGAGGAGCATCTCCCGCGGGCACAGAGGAGCATCTCCCACGCACACAGAGGAGCATCTCCCGCGGGCACAGAGGAGCATCTCCCACGCACACAGAGGAGCATCTCCCACGCACACAGAGGAGCATCTCCCACGCACACAGAGGCTACTCCTTAAAAAAAAAAAAAAAACACGATTAAACAGTTTAACAGCACTGCAATATTTTCCGCCGTACGATGTACTCCCCTTGTCCAAAATGTCCTGTTGGGGTTCCTAATGAACTGGCTTCAGGAAACGGGATCTGTTTTATTTATTGGTGCGGCTTTACCCCATTTACTAGTCCTGGGTTGTGAGATGTATGTTCTTCCCTGTACTTATCCTATGGGATTGTATTTTATAGTTTGACACACAGAAACCCAGAGATAGAGTGTTATGGTCTAAGGAGAATGGCGCTGCGAGGAGTTACCACGGCATCTGGCCGACGCTCAACACTCAGGGGAAGGATGGGACGGATATATAGTCAGACGGTTACTGGTACCATCGGAATTCGAACTCATCGCTTGCTGCTGAAGATGGGGACTGAGCACTTATAGGAATGCCCCGAGTGCTGTGATATCAATTCTTGACTCAGTTCAACTAGGATCAATACAGAATACTCGTTATCATAAAGGAGAACGAAAGACGGAACCCTGACGGAAGTACGTCATCGCCATGTACAAAATGGCGCCTGCTCTTGCGGAAGACAGGTTGTCTAATACAGGTTGTTCGCTGTTCTCCTGGCTGCCCACTTGCAAGCAGACGTTTGTTTGTATTATCAGGTTTGTAGACCCCGGGGGTAGCTGGTGTGGCAAGCATGTCCAATAAGGCAAACATGCTGACTGCAGAAGTAATGGATAGTTTATTTGTTGTTTCTTTGTTAATTTATCAGACGGCGTCTGGTGCCATCAGAATCGGAACTCTTCGCTTGCTGCTGAAGATGGGGACGGAGCACTTGTTAGAGTGTCCCGAGGGCTGTGATGTAGATTCCTAATTTAACATTCAACATTCTTTGTTATCGATATCCCAACTCATTGGTCAGACAAATTGTGACTGTAGTTGGATTGTGTAGTAATAGTATAGGGAAATGATGGTTATACAGTTAAACACGTTAAAAGTCCATGGTTTAGCACTTGCATTGAAATCAAAGTCAAAATTTTGAGAGCTTGCATCTTCCTTGTAAGAACGTAAGAATGCAAGCCGTGAACCGTTTCACAGTCATTAAGGAAGGAAATAGGAGCTTCTCGCCTGAAAAGGTATAACAATATTCTCAGAATACCCTTTACCAAGAAAAAGAAGCAGCATATTGACATTCTAAGATCTCAGTACCAAGAGGGATTAGTTACTAAACAGCATCTTATCTCCGAAGCTGCTCTAGACCATGCCGGCGTAGTGGGTAATAAACAGGCAGACAGATTGGCTGTATCTGAACCACTGGGTGGTGAATTGAAATATGACAAGACAGATGTGGTCAAGTTCCCTTGGGAACGAGCAATGGAATCAGTAGAGAAACAAGATTATTATGGCCTGGAGAAAAGGAGGCACCTGGGTGTAACCAGAGGGGCTGACCGGCTTACCACACACAGAGGAAAGGCAAGACAGACATATAACTAGATTGTGACCGGTACCATCAGTATTGGAACTCTGCGCTGGCTGCTGGGGATGAGGACGGAGCACGCATTAGAATGCCCCGATGGTAATTCTTGACTCAACTCAACTCAACCCTATCTCGGAAGCTGAAATATTTTGGTCATATCAAGCACCATGGTGGATTGGGGCGAAACAATACTAGCAGAAGGTATGGTACCAGGAAGAATTGCCAACATGACACACGGGATGTATAAGTGGCTCCTTGAATACAAAAGTACACCAGGAGGGAGAGTTGGCGAGAGACAAATCTTTTAGACAAATCGTGATGAGAGCGACGTTCTGCAAAGGACCTGCTACATGATTCCCCGTGTGGGTTCGGGGGGCCCTATTATAGTGAAAACAAGAATAGACCCACTGCCTACCAAGAAGCATGTGGTAAGAGTTGATTAATTGGGAGCTTCCTTCGAAGTCGGAGTGCATCTGATTGACAGGCAAGGAACCAACAGTCCGCATACAAATGAGTCAGATCTGTCAAACGGATGCACACGCAACACTCAGGTTCTGGAACAGGTCTGCAGTTCAGAAGTGCACCAACAACCTGAACTTTCCGCCGGAGTTTACAACCGGTGAACGCAAAGAAGCATAAGAAAAAGCTACATGATGACGATGGAACACAAAAACAGACGAAATTGTTTCGCGACCTACCTGACAGCTAATCAGACACGAAACAAATATACTGTACTTGATCAATCCCATGGGACAAACTTGCAGTTTTCAGCTCATGCTACATCCATGGCTTCTTAGACTTGAAACAATCTACAATAACATCCATTTGATTTCTCCTTAAAGAATAATAAAGGTTCTTTCATAATATCCTACTCCAGATGAGGTCCTAGACAGTCCAACATTTTAGAGGGTAGGAAGACTGGGTTTCCCAGCTGTCTGATGCTTTTAACGAGCCCAGAACATTTAGAACAAGCCCTAACCTCAACCCACCTACGTCCCACGAAAGAGTGCAGCCTAGGTCTTACGACTGCATGCAGACTGTGTCCCACGAATGCATGCAGCCTATCTACCACACCCTGAAATATTAGACTGTCCCGTGACCTGTGGATTTCCTCTGTTTGAGGTAGAATATTAATAAAGCACTAAAATAAACAATAACTGTCACTAGAAGAGAGACGATCAGAAGTGGCGATATCAGGAAACAATTTGGGAGGGAACCAGTATTGAACTACAACAAGAGACAACAGATCAGATAGTTTTAACACGTGTCAAAATTACCACCAGGCATTATACAACACAGAGAGCCTTGTCATTCAGATAGAACTGAAGCAGAACCAGAGGTCGACCACGTAAGGGATGGATGGATGGAATAGCCAAGGCCGTAAATACCAGCAACTACGTAGAACATACCAAGGCTCTTAAAGGATGCCGCTTAAAACCCTGTAGCAAGAAGAAGAAGAAGAAGAAGAAGAAGAAGAAGAAGAAGAAGAAGAAGAAGAAGAAGAAGAAGAAGAGAAAGTAGAAGAAGAATAAAAAGAGGAAGAAGAAGAAGAAGAAGAAGAAGAAGAAGAAGAAGAAGAAGAAGAAGAAGAAGAAGAAGAATAGGAAGAAGAATAGGAAGAAGAAGAATAGGAAGAAGAAGAAGAAGAAGAAGAAGAAGAAGAAGAGGAAGAAGAAGAAGAAGAAGAAGAAGAAGAAGAAGAAGAAGAAGAAGAAGAAGAAGAAGAAGAAGAAGAAGCAGAAAAAGAAGAAAAAGAAGAATTTTCAGAAGCCTGAACACCTTCCCCCCCCCCCCCCCCCCATAACGCCAACCCTCACCCCCACAACCACGCATAGAACATTGTAGGGAACACTCAGTAGAGCTTCTGCTTCTGCATCGGAGGAATTTGCTGTCCTGGGAATGCCCAATATGCACTGACATCATTTGTTGATAATATAATGTCTATAGAAATTCTCTTTTAAAGTATGTGTTTTTAAATTGCATATCATTTCAAATATATTATACTAATTATTTGCTATTCAGTGTATATTAATATTACACATTTAAACAAGACATGTCTTTGAGGTTAACTATATTATTTTTTCCCCACGACCCCTCCCTTCCCTATTTCCCTGTGTTTTGTATG